AAGCCATGAGAGAGGCCGAACGCAGGGTCTCCCAGGTGGGGGGAAGGGATGGGCCCTGCCTACACTTGATACTCCCAGCCTTGGCCAACATGGGGCCGGTGGGGCACAGCTGGGGCCTCCACGAGGATAAGGGCCTCCCGTCTTGCATCAGGCAGAGGTGACGCAAATGGAGGGATCCTGCCGGCCTCATCAGGGAGCGCAGAGTCCAGCTCTGCCCAGTACTGTTCCCCTCACATCCTTTCCTTCCACTTTTAACTGGAAACAGTTCCCAAGAGTCTCAGGCAGGGACACTCTCAGGGGAAAGCTTTTAAGAACTGGGTCCAGGAACACATGCACAACTTGACATGGTCCTTGCCTGCAAAGAGCTCCCGCTCCAATGTGGGGACAGACACCCCAGCAATTAGAGCTTCATAAGGTCAACACAGAGACACACAGAGGAGCCAGCCCAAGCTGGGCCTCAAGAAGTCTTCTTGGAAGAGGCCATTCCTGGGTGAGAAAAGTCTCACACCCCAGGTTGCTAAACTAAGTAAATAACAAGCAGGATGCCCAGATGGACTTGAATTTCAGAGAAATGGTGAATAATTTTTTTAGTATGTTCCAAATACTGGATGGGATGTGGCTACAAAATTCCTCGCTGTTTCTCTGAAATTCAAATCTAGACATTCTCTACTTCACCTGGTCTCCCTTCATCATTGTGATTTACAGATGACACGTCAGGCTCAGGGAAGGGAAGTGACAGCAGAGTTTTGTAATGACCTCATCCCAGGTGTCCCACCTATGATTAGACTGTAGTCTGTCAAAGGGTCTGTCAAATGAATGGGGACAGTGAGTATCAAAGCTTCACCTCTTGTGGTCTGAAAACCAGCATCAACCTCATCTGGGAGGGAGGTTGATGGAAGTGCAGAATCCCAGGCCCGAACCTTGACAGAGTAAGAACCTACTTTTGGCAACCCCTCCCGCTGTGGGAGCTCTTCTGTCCTTTCAATAAATCCTGCTTAAAAAAAAAAAAAAAGAACCTGCATTTAAGAAGATCCCTGTGTGATTCGGTGTGCAGGAAGGTCGGTCTCAGGGGTGCTGTATGGAGACTGATACCACAGGGAGATGGTGGATTCGAGTGCAGGGAGGTGCCAGCACAGAGCCAGGCTACAACAGGGTGCCAGGTGCCCAGGCGGCAGCAGTAATCCACACAGGCTCCTATCAGCTCTCATAGGAACCCCCAAAGCGAGCATTTTTTACTCCCACTTAACGGGCAAAACCCTGGAGAAGGCCAAGAAAAGCGAGCTGTCTTCCCCATACAGGCCACATAAGTGGCCACCAAGGTCTGACCCAGCCATTGTGACCACAGCGCACCTGGTGCACTGAGGTGAGCCACGAGGGGACACTATGTGGCAGAGGCAGCTCTTGGGGTGCTTATTTGAAGGCCCCTTGATGTACCTCCTTTTCTTGCTACTCATGCCCCAGATACCCTCAATGCAGTCTATGCCAATCCTACCGCTTCTCAGCAGGTTTGTGGGCAGTCAGGTGGGTGAACAGACACATCAGATGCATTGAATTCTGAAGGCATTACAAGAGGAATAGTGCGTGTTTGCCCAGCATGGTGCCTAGCACACAGCAGGTTTGCTTGGCCACAGAATCTCCCTCCCCCTGGCAAACATGGCTGTGATAAATGGAAAAGCAGCAACTTGCAGCCCCTGCCACAAGGCAGATGTCTTATGTAATTATTCAGGGGAAGATGACAATTGGCAGGGGCACCTTCTCTGCTGGAATTTGACTTTATCACCATTGCCTATTGGGGCCCCTGCCCCTAAAGACCAAAGTCCCACAAAAACGAATTCCCCAAAAGCTGACTCATTCATCCTCAGCAGGTGGGGGCAGAGAATCAGTCAGGAAAGACATGCACCTGAGTCTTTTGTGCTCTCGGTCCAGAGGTTTCTAGGCACACACATGCTGTCCCCATCTGCTGTTACTGCGGCAGCCTCAGCTGAGTAGAATGCCCCCATTAAAAAAAAAAAAAAAAAAGCCTGCACCTTTTTCTATCCTTTGAATTTTTAACATGTGACTGTATTATATTTCCAAAAACAGGTCGGTTTTTCAGGCCACGTTGCACATTTTTGTGACAGTCACTGTTCTTTTCATTCTCAAACATGCAGGGCTCCCTCCCACCTCAGGGAATTTGCATATGATATTACAGCCTGCAAATTTCAGCACAAACCTCACTTCAAGGGAGCCAGCATTCCCTCCAACCAGGTGAGGCCCCTTTATAACCTCCAGCACCTGGACTCCCCACACACAAAAAAAACAACTGTCTGCATCACCCTGGCGGCTCCAGATCACACCCGCCCACTGCTAACACCACTGGCCCTGCCCCATCACCATGATTTCTTGGAAATCCTTGAGAGTTAAGAGGGGCAGGGATCACGAGTTGCCAAGCAGTCTGTGCACTGATGTACCGTCTGTGATCCTTGCCTCAGACTGTGCCTTGGCCATGTGATACCAGACCCTAGCACAGTACAGACACACAGGCTCCCATTCACGTCAAGGCGTGGGTAAGACTACCAGCCCAGGGTGGAGACACCAGGGAACTCTCCTGATCTTCCTGCTGGAGCACAGGATGTCATTGGCCTGGAAACCCTCCAGGCTTCCAGCTGCTTAGCTCTAAGCTTTCAAATGGCACATGCCTCGCCTTCTTCTTTCCTTCCTGTTTCAGGCGGCCCCAGGTCTGTGTGTCCATTATGCATAATGTTTGAGCCCATCTAAGGCCCATCCTGGTTCTAAGGCCCATCCTGGTTCTAGTTTAGACATGTTTGAGCCGTTAAGGGCTCAGGCTTTGGGCCAGAGGGACTGAGTTCAAGAGGTCAATCCCAAGCACCTGTTTGTTCACATGTAAATGGACACGTGGTGCCTGCTCCCCAGGACTGAGTGAGCATTGAATGAGCTCCATACACTTTCCCTCTGCAGACTCAGGATGTGGAGACAGATCCTTCCATTCTTTCCAGTGCCCCAGGCCCGGAACACCCACGATGGCACCTGCCCCATGGTGATGAAAGCCCCAGTAGTATCAGCTACTCCACTGGGGTGAACACACCAGCCAACTGCCCTGCTGGACCTGCCAGAGATCAAACCCTGCCCAGCAGCCTCACATTCACCAGGTAACTTCTGAGCCTCATCTCCCCCATCGAGAGCACCGGAATACCTTCCTAAGGGTAGCCGTTAGGAAGCAGGAACATATGCCTTCAACCAACAGCTGCCATGCCTTGACCCGAGCCCCTCTGCTCCTGGTCCAGACCCCATTGACCCCAAAGAGGAATACAGCAAAGGGCTGGTCTCATGCTCCTCCATCTCATCCCTCAGAAGGAACCATGAGGGAAGCCCAATCTCTCTATTCAGGATGGTTCTGAGATGCAAGCTGTCTTGATAGGGTGCGCCTGGGAAATGAGAGGGAGAAGGGAGACGAGTCACGGAGACAGGGTGTGCACTACTTTAGAACATAGCTTGGCCATAACATTCAAAGCACACAGAGCACTCCTTAGCAACTCATGAAGCAGGGTGGGAGGCCAACCTGGTCAAGGGCCAGGCCTTGGCATTGGCAGTGCTCTCTGCCCATCTCCTAAGACGTGGGAATGACGCCCACTGTTAGGGTCTTTGTAGTTCTGATGGGCATCTCACAGCAGATCCTCAAAGAGTTGCTCTTTACCTCCAGCTCCCTTCTGAATATTCCCAAGTAACCAAATGCAGCCTGCAAGAATATCGATGGTCTCCAAAGACATGACACAGGGAAAAAAAAAATACTGTCTGCATCGCCCTGGAGGCTCTAGCTCACACTTGCCCACCATCCCTGTCCCATCACACACCATGGCTTCTTGGAAATCTTTGAGTTAAAAGAAGAGGGGCAGGGATCACAAGTTGCCAAATTTCAGGTCCTGCTATCCCCAATCCTGCCACACCCTACACATTCTAATGGAGTCAAAGGCTCATCCTTCTCACCTCTGTACAAACTTATGCTGAGACTTGATGGCTTGGTTACTGTCCCTTACTTTCTCCCAGCACTCCCCAGCCCGCCTCCTCATGCCCCCAGCCTGGCCGTGTGATGGCTGACAAGCAGGTGATGGTGACATTGTGTTGGGCAGGTGCAATCTAGGGCCGGAGTCAGCAGGAAATCCCACCCTTCCAAGCCCCCTAACCAGCAAATGGAAGCTGAGAGGCCCAGACTTCAGGCTGGAAAGGTAGCTAGAGAGCTCAGGCTTGGGCATGAAAAAGGAACAGAGATCAGCCGGGCGTGGTAGTGCGCACCTATAGTTCCAGCTACTCGGAAGGCTGAGGCAGAAGGATCGCCGGAGCCCAACAGGTCGGAGCGGCCACTACACTCCAGTCTGGGCGACAGAGTGAGACTCTAACTCAAAAAAAAAAAAAAAAAAAAGGAACAGAGGCCGGGCATGGTGGTTCACATCTGTAATCCTAGCACTTCGGGAGGCTGACACAGGACAGCCTAAGCCCAGGAACAGGAGGCTGCAGTGAGCCATGACTGTGCCATTGCACTCTAGCCTGGATGACAAAGACAGACCCTGACTCAGAAAAAAAAAAGGAACAGTGCAAAGTGCATGTCATACCACCATTCATGCACTTAAAGCACGCAGACATGACTCACATAAGAGCAGCTGTTCAGAAAGGGACCAACAGAGAGGTGCACTGGCTCCTCTGAGGAGTGGGCAGCTTTCCCTCTCAATCTACAATGTGTACATGTTGGAGGAGAGGGAGGTTTGAGTCAGAAAGGCCCGTCTCCTGGGGGTGCAGATCCATCCGTCTGCATGACCCCAGAGAGTAGGGCCACAGGAACTGGGCAGGAGTGCTCTGGGTGGAAGAGAGTGGGCTTCGCAGCTGACCTCTGCTGGCCAACCAAGTCACTGCATGCAGCAAGAGAGCCAGGAGCGGCTGCCTTCTGGAAGTTTCCTGACTCCTGAGGTTTTGGGGAATGGTCCTTTCGTACATGCCAGAGGCACAAATGAGGACAGCCCAAACCTTTATTCTGTTAAGGGACAGGACGCCAGCCTGGCAGTGCCAGCATTCAGTCTGTCCAGGAAGCACAGCAGACACCAGAACTGCGCCTGTCCATGCTGGGGGGGGAAGCTCACTCCACACTGCTAAGTCCCAGAATGGCTCAGACGACATCAGGAGGGCTTCGCTGTGGGTCTGAATTTCTTTCCTTTGTGCTTGAAGCTGCGCAGTGGGTTCTGGGACTTTGTCTTCTATGGAGGCAAAATCACAAATTAGTTGGGGGAATCAAACCCACCAACCAACTAACCATCTGTCCACCCATCCACCCAAACTAAGACAGACACAAAGGGCAAGGCCATCAGCCAATGAAACCAAAAGCTGCTGCAGACACTGAGAGGAAGAGCAGTAAGGACAGAAAAGCAGGGCCTGTGGGAAGTGCCCCCAGCCCACCGATTTTGTCCCAGCCACCAGATTTTTGGGACACATTTCCTGGGTGCCCTCTCTGCCCTTCCTTAGGGCAAGGCACCCGCACATCCTGGTGATGAGAGAACAAGGTGAGGAGGAGGTCTGAAGCTGTCCCCAAGAACCCAAGGGGCGGTACCTTGGCCTTCCTACTGGAGGAAGATGGTTTCTTCCGCTTCTTATGAGGGCGTACGAGGCCACAAAGGGTAGGAGGAACTGGAAGAGACATTTGGCCTCAGCAGCAGCCTCACCACTGCTGCTCCCAGCCCTGCCCTCCTACTGACTCCGGTCCTACCACCCAAAGAGGCTCCTGGTCCTTTTGCAAGCCTTTCTCAGTGCTGCCCGCCTGCTCACCCTTGCCCCCGCCCCAAATGGCTGCAGCAAACCATCCAGTTCTGACCCAACTGACAGCCTGTGACATAGCTATTCACTAGCACATCTGCACTGGACCAGAATGTGAGCTCATTAGACTTCCACTGCTAAACACTTGTCTGTAAAATTTTTGCTGCAATAAATATGTAACAAGAAAAAAACTATGGAGATTTACCTTTAAAGAAAATACAGCTGACATAAGAAATCAATGGGTAGTTTCTTCACCTGTAACCCATTTCTACAAGTCCACGGTGTCCCAAGATCCTTCCTTCGGCTCCCCCAAAATACCTGATTTTGGTGATGACAGTTGAGGGCTCTGCCCTGACCTCAGCCCCCTGGACTCCCTCCCCAGTCATACCTGGGCCCTCCTATGAATGTCTAATTCCCTTGGCCCTCCTAAACCTCCTGGCAAGTAACTTTGCTCCTACTTGACAGAGCAGACCAGGCTCATCAGGCCAAAACTTTGCCTTCACCCTGCGACCTGCAGTTCGACTCCCCTCATGTCTGCCATCAGGACCCAGGTTGGGGTCTCCTCCAGTTCACTGTGTTTTGGGAACCCGGTCCCACCATTCTGTCTCTGGCATTTCCATGTTCCCATCTCGTCTGGATCCTTCGCTTCCCATTGCTCAGGCCTTTCCTGCCCTGGAACATTCCACTCTCCTGTCATTGCCACAGCAGCAACACCACACCCGCTGGCTGACCAGACCCCATGGCACTGGGAAGGGGCCTGCACTCGCCGCTCACTGCCTCTGCTTTGCCGCTCTTCTCTGTTAATCCACTTTAGGCATCAAAGTCACACACGTTCACTAGCAAAAATGTCACATGCAGGATGTTGAAAGAAGCCATTACCCAGAGCTTGTGTAAGATAAGAGGTGCCCAGGTTTAATGGCTGCTTAAACATCTGGCCCTGCCTCAAGTATACCACAGAAACAAGTCCTGGGTCCTGACTTCACACCTGCCAACCCCTGGACCCCTCACCCCACCCCCGATTCTTCCCTTGCCACTTCATCTGTTTACACCTAACAGCGTCATCTGTCACCATGTCAACTGTTCTTATCTAGAAACTCCAGATGCCTTGGTCTCAACCTCGGTGGCTGCTAGTCCCAAGTCTTCTCCTGCACAGGCGGCTCTCTACCTCCTGTCCGTGGTCCTCCCCCAAACCTGTCCACTTTCTTCAGCCCATGAATAGCCACTTGGCCAGTCATTCTATTCTTCTTTTTTTTTGAGTCGAAGTCTGTCACCCAGGCTGGAGTGCAGTGGCACGCTCACAGCCACCAAAGCCTCGACCTGCTGGGCTCAGGCAATCCTTCCACCTCAGCCTTCCAAGTAGCTGGAACTACAGGCATGTGCCACCATGTCCAGCTAATTTGTTTACTGCAGAGACGAGGTCTCACCAAGTTACCCAGGCTGGTCTCGAACCCGTGGTCTCTTGCCTCAGCTTCCCAAAGTGCTGGGATTACAAATGTGAGGCACTGCGCCCAGCTTGGTCATTCTTTCAGTTTGCGAAGACCTGGAGACCTCCTGGCCTTAAATCTGGGTCTGCCACCAACTCTGCACTACCTCAGTTTCCTCATCTTCACAATAGTGACAGCAACAGCTACCCCATGGGGTAGACCTGTCTGTGTGCCACCTGGGTCTTGGGTTCTGTTTCACCTGAGCATTCCCAGCACAGGGGATGACACAGCAACCAAGGAATGAATGCCATTTCCCCCAACCCACTACCTCCTGACCCCATCATACCACACTCACTCAGGTAGTCAGGAACATGGCCCAGGTGAGGCTTCACCACTGCAGGGTGCAAAGGCAGGTCATGCCGCAGCAGCTGGAGATCCCTGGGGTTATCTTCAAAATATGTCTGATGAGGGAAAGGCCAGCACCCCAGAGTCAGCATCTTTCTTTTATACAACTTCACAGATTCAGTTTTCAAAAGGTTAACAATCATAAGTTTGGTTGTTTGTTTGTTTGTTTTGAGTTGGAGTCTCACTCTGTCACCCAGACTGGAGTGCAGTGGCCGCTCCCAGCTACCGCAGCCTCGACCTGCTGGGCTCCGGCGATCCTTCCACCTCAGCCTTCCAAGTAGCCGGAATTACAGGTGCATAAAACCGCCTGGCTGATTTTTTGATTTATTGTAGAGGTGAGGTTTCGCTGCCCAGGCGGGTCTTGAACCCGCGGGCTTAGGCAATTCGCTCACCTCGGCCTCCCAAAGCACTGGGATTACAGGCTGAGCCACCGAGCCCGGCCTGTTTGTTTTTTGAGTCAGAGTCTAATTCTGTCACCCAGGTTGGAGTGCAGTGGCACACTCACGGCCATTGTAGCCTCGACCTGCTGGGCTCTGGTGATCCTTCCACCTTAGCCTTCCAAGTAGCTGGAACCACAGGCGTGCACCACCATGCCCAGCTAGGTTTTTTATTTATTGTAGAGATGGAGTCTCGTCAAGTTGTGTCTGTGTCTCTCTGTTTCTCTCTTTCTCTCTTGACACACCTTAGTTTACCTAGCAAGCTCCCTGTAGTGGCTCAGGCTGTTTCCATCTTTTAGTTCCATAATAGCGCAGTGATAAATGCGGGTACATGTATCACACGTATGTCTCATGGTTAGGTTTCAGGAGTAGAACTTCCGGATCAAAAGACTCATGTATCTGGGCATGGTCACTCACATCTGTAACTGCATTACTTTGGGAGGTGGAGGCGAAAGGACTGCATGAACCCAGGGACTCGAGACCAGCCTGGACAACATGGCGAGACCTCCTCTCTACAATAAATCAAAAAAATTAGCCAGGCATGGTGGTGTGCACCTATAGTTTCAGCTACTTGGAAGGCTGAGGCAAGACTACCTGAGCCTAGCAGGTTGAGGCTGTAGTGGCCGTGATGGTGCTACTACATTCCAGCCTGGGTGACAGTGAGACTCCAACTCAGAAAAGAAAACAAACAAAAGACACATGAACTCATACTTCTGATGGACACTATGATTGCCCACCATAAGGCTGTGCCAATTTACCCCTCAGCAGAAAGACTGGCTTTCTTCAGCGGTTCTTGGTGTATTTCCTCCCTCTCCCTGCCAAAGGCAGCACACTGCCCAGCTCTCTGCTTCTTACCACTTTGAGCTCAGCTGGTCTCCAAGGGCAGCCTCCTAAGATTCAGCCCCTCCTTGCCTCTCATCCCCTTACCTTGAGCTTCTCAGAGTGCAGAAGCTCCTCCTTGATCTCCTTCAATCTCGCCTCACGAATGGCCTGTTTAGTCACAGAGCGCATGGCGTCCTATGGGTGGACACAGATTGTCAAGACAGTGAGGCTGGCCCAAATCCTCTCTCATGACAAATCCTCACTCATGCTCAACAACAGAGTGTAATCCCTGGGCCACAGTCCCCTAGCCCCCAGTGCCCTTCCCACCATGGCCAGCTCACCCTGCAGCGGTAGCGAAAGCCTTCGATCTCTTCCATCTGGAACTGGTAGGGGAGCAGGACCGGGGCCCTGTTCTCTGTGGAGGGGGCAGCAGTGAGAGTCTCACAAGGTCTTCACTTAAGGTCTCCTGCACCTCCTTGGGGTGAGGAAGCTAGCAACTTACCACCTCCCTGGGATGGTGAACACACAACTTAGCTGTACATGGGTCTCATGGACAGTGGTGACCCATCCATCCCCTTGTGTGGACAAGGGTGGCCTGTGCATCCCTAAGTCCCGAGCCCCACCATCCACTCTTTTTCTCTCCCAAGGCCAATCTAGCTGAAAAGGGATCCTATGATGACAGCCACAGAGAGCAGTCAAAAAGCACCCTTGGGGTCAGGTGCTATAGTAAGCTATGTCAGTACAGTGTGTTGGATCACTCAATACTTAGGAGACAGACAGTAAACTTGACTTTAGACAAGTTACTTCAGTTTGCTTAGCTGTAAGACAAGGATGGATGGGGAGGTGGCTTGTTGCACTATACTGTTACCTCTGTCATCACTATCATGGGATCATAAGGGGTTGTGGGAGAAGCCTGTCCCTGGGCCAGGCCCATGGAAGCCAGGTTCTTACCTCCACTGAGAAGCTCCTCGATTTTGCCCAAGTGGGACTGCTCCGTGGGCAGCACAAAGGTCAAGACTATGCCTGGGTTGTTAGCACGTGCTGTCCTACAAGGGAAGTCAATTCAGTCTACTTCTCCAACCTGAAGGTTCTGTCCAGCACACCTAGTCCTTCTACATGAGTGTCCAGGTATCTGGCCCAATACACTCCTAGCCCTCCTACCTGCCAGCTCGATGGATGTAGGCTTCAGGGGTAGGGGGAAGATCAAAGTTGAGCACAGCAGACACATGGTGGAAGTCTATGCCCCGGGCCACACCAGCTTCCGGATCAGAGGCCCTGCAGAGATGAAGAGATGACTCAACATCAATCACTGAGCCGGAATTCTCAAGCTTAATCAGCAAAACTTTTTCTCTACACAAAGCCTAGGGACCACAAGACCCTGACATATGGAAGACTCCAGCATCAGAACTATTCCAAGAGCTAAGGTTTCCTGGGGCAGCCTGGAGTTTTGACATGTAGCCAAACCCTCGCCCAGACCTTAGTTCTGGGGCAACAGCAGAACTCACTGCCCTATGGGGTGACCTAAAAACAGTCAGATTGACCTAAGCCAGTTCACCTTTCAAGTGGACAAAGACTGGGGGCTTCCCTTTTCCCGTAGAAATATGCTCCCTGCAAGTCACAGCCACACACCCAATGCAGGCTGGGCCATCCCCCCTGCAGGCTGTAAGTGTCAAGAACCCAGGCACAGTCTTGATCTTTGTGCTATACAGGCAGTGTGTACCCTTCACTTCCCTTCTCCACATCCAGGCAGCTAAGCAAGAGCCTGTGGTGCTCGCTGGGCTATGTTATTGGTCAGGCCTAGAAGGTCTGGCTCCTTGCTCTGTGTACTCTGGCTTCAATCTTACAAAAAGCTGAAAAATAAAGCTTTCTGAGGAAAGGAAAGATAAGTATGGACTTACTTGTCCCCTTTGGGCCCTCGGCCCCGACGCTTGCCCTTGACCGGGGCCCCCAGGACCTCAGCATCAGTTGCTATGACACAGTCATAAAATCCTTGGTTGAACTGCGAGATGATGTGACACCTGCAGCCCAACAGGAGAGAGGGTCAGCACCACAGAGCAAGCTAGAAGGCCGCCCCATCCCTAGCACTGCAGTAACCACTACCCTTTCCTACTTTTCCTCATCTTAATCTCTTTCCCTACTATCTTTGTGCCTCAACTTCTTCATTTAAAAATGAAGTAACAGTAGGTATCTCAGAAGTAGCAATAAGTCAGTATTAGTCAAGTCCGGAGCCTGTCCCTAACAAGTACTTAAGAAACAGGAACATGAACTGAGTCCCCTTTCGATTTCTATCTTTTTTTTTTTGAGTTGGAATCTCACTCCATCACCCAGACTGGAGTGCAGTGGCCGCTCCCGGCCACCGCAGCCTCAACCTGCTGGGCTCTGGCGATCCTTCCGCCTTGGCCTTCCAAGTAGCCGGAACTACAGGCACGCACTACCACGCCTGCCTAACTTTTGATTTATTGTAAAGATGAGGTCTCGCCAAGTTGCCCAGGCAGGTCTCGAACCCACTCGATTCCTATCTTCAACTTAACTCAACCAAGGTATCAGCTGTGGCAAACCTGGAATGCAGTGGGAGTTCTCCATTGAGCACACAGGTGGGGATGCTGAACTGTTCCAGAAATAGGCGTAGCCGGTAACTCCGCTCTAAAGTGTTGACAAACAGCAGGGACTTGCCTCGAATCAATGATAGCTTGAGCAGGGCATACAGCAGCAAGAACTTGTCTTCCTCCATCTCACAAACCACCTGAAACTGTTGTAACTGGTCTGGCCCAGGCAGCTGGGACTCCTGTAACTTGAGGGTAACCTGGGGAGAGGACAGGCCTATGTTCAAGAAAGGAAGAAAACAGAGATGCTATGGCCACTTGCTCACCAACCAAAGCACTAAAATTTCAGTGCAGGGCAGAGATGCATTTAAAGATGCCTGTGTTGATACTCTAAGTCCCCTCTAGTTATGATACCTAAAAATCCAAAATGCCCTAATGCTGTGGTATATAGAAGACATAAACTGTACATAAAGCACTTGGGGAAACCAAACAAAGAGAAACACTTCAATAAACAACTATACTGAGCAGGGATGGCTTATAGCAACAGACCTCTGAAGGATGAAATTTACTTGTGGTAAGAACCTTGACCTTAATTTTGGCTAAGCTGCTCAAAGCCACCCCTTTTGGGGTGGGGGTAAAGTCCCTGCTCAGGCTTTTAGGCACAGCATGGTTTGAACTGAGAGAGATCCCCTGAGAATACCTGGAAATATGTAGTGATTTTAGACCACCAGATTTTAGTGCCTTAGAACCAGGGATAAGACACCCAGTGACAACTTCCCTACCCCAAACACCAAAGGCTCCTCTGAGAAGCATCAAGTCCTCGGAATGCCCTTATTCCTACAGCTCCAGACGCACCCATGGTGCCCCTTACCGGATTATGTAGTACCAGCTCCTTGAGTGCTTGTACGTCCTCATTAAAAGTAGCCGACATGAGAAAAGCCTGGTAAATCCGGGGCAAGTGGCTGAAACAAAACAGAGCCTGATCAGACTCCAGCTCCAAGGGCCTCTAACAGTGTCAGCTGAACTTCCGGCTACTGAGCTCTAGGCCCAACTCTCTGTTGACAGACATTTTTGCTAGGAACCACCCCCACCTCTTCCTTACCAGAGAAGACTCTTTAGTTCCTCCTCAAAGCCAAAGGAAAAAAGAAGATCTGCCTCATCCACCACCAGCAGCTCCAGGGAGTCACGCAGTTTCAAGCTGTCTTGCTGCAAGTGGTTTAATATGCGGGACGGAGTCCCCACCACTACATCTGGCTTTTCCATCAGCACAGCTCTGAAGGAGGGCAAGATGTGAGTATCAGGGAGAATGTAACAGCGGGATCTCACCCTAGACTTGCCCTCTTTCTTGCTACACACAAACCAAAACTCACATCTCTGGGTAGCTTCATTCACCTACCTTCCGTTACTTTTACCCACCTCTGAGAGGCTGAGTCTTCAGCAGCGGAGACATTGGCCACTCGGATGTCACGAGCACAATAAGTAGCCAGTTGCTGAATCATGGACTGGGCCTGGCGTGCCAGCTCCTTGGTAGGAACGAGGACAAGGCCTCTCACTGCCTGTTCTACCACAGGACCTGTCTGTAAGAACATGAATTAAAAGCTTTATATACAGCAAGCAGTGCATATCATTGTGTCCACCTGATGCTTTTCTCTACTTCTTCCAAGCAATCTGTCCCATCCACTGCCCCACTACTCAGCAGTGTTCTGACCAATTATCACTCTGCCCACCTTAGAATGTAGAGTGCAAGAGTTCTCATCCCAAGCACTGACCCTCAAAAATAACTTAACTCTATGCTTATGAAGTTACAATGTACTACTAGTTATGGAGCTGACCTCTCACAACAATTCTATAAGTAGAAAGTGAAGATGTACCCCCCTTGTATAGAGCAATACGATTTGCTGAACATTACACAAAGGTTGGCGGTAGCAGGGCCTGGACCAGGACCCAAATAACCTGAGCGTTTGCCACGCCAGCACTAGGTTCTCTTGGGCTAGCCTGCACCAGTACCGGGCCAAGAGAAAGCCTCAGATAAACGGGAACCGCCCTTCCCAGCCTTTTGGAGCTCGCCTCCTTCCCTTCCTTGGCACTCCCTCTACCTACCGCCTTCCTGTGGAGCAGCAGCTGCAGCATCGGAATCGCATACGCGGCCGTTTTCCCGGAACCCGTGCGGGCCCGAGCCAGGAGGTCCTTCCCCTCCAGGGCCAGCGGAATGGCCTTTTCCTGGATCAGCGTAGGTCGCGACCAGCCCAGGTCGGAGACAGCCTAACAGAGACCAGGAGACCGGCTCAGGCGGCGCGCCCTTACGGAGCCGGCAAGCCGGCTGGCTACCCACCCCTCCCCGTACCTGCAGGAGCCGGGGATCGAGGCCCATATGCTCAAAGCCCAACGCTTCTGGGTCCGCCATGGCTCTGCTCAGGAGGCAGCGTGCACGCGCGGCAGGAAAAACGCAGCCAACGCGGGGGGCGGGTCAAAGCAACAACCAATCAGCCGCAAAGGAGCCGCCTCTTCCCGGAAGTGCTAGCGCCTAGGTAGCCGGTGCTCGGTCCGGGCTCTACAGCTGCGTGGCGGCCAGGACTGGGTCTAGAAGAGGCTGGGGGCTCTGACCACCGGGTCCAGGGTTCCCCGACACCTCTGACGCGGCCAGTTCGCAGGATCCGCAGGAAAAGCCTCGGCGGGGGTCAGAGGGGTTGGCAAGGCTGCCTTGGCTGGTTTCGGGTGCCGCCCGGCGGGGCTGGCAGCAAGAGAGCATGTGATGCGGGGCGCAACGGCCTGCTGCGCAGCCGCTGAGGGCTGGGTCGAGGGAAGCGAGTTGGAAAAATGATCAGCACAGAACTATGGCAGCAACTGCCTGAAGCAGAGGAAGGACAGTTGGTGTGGGGCCCATCAGCCACCAGCACAGCTTGGTGACAATTCTTTGGGTCCCAAGTCTGACGTGGGTCTCACTGGGCTAAAATCAAGGTGCGTCCCATTAAGACCCGTGTCATACTTAGGACCTGCAAAACTAAGATAATGAACTTGTGTTGTTTTAAGCCACCAAGTTTCTAATAATTTGTTGCGGTAGTAGGAAACTAACATAGCTAAAGACTAAACTCATCACAAGTCTTTAAAAGTGGAAGAGGGAAGCTGAAGAGGTCGGAGCGGTGCCATTTGAGGACTCGACCAAACCCTGCTGGCTTTGAAAGAAGAGGAAGGGGCCAGAGCCAAGCTGGAAGAGGCAAGTAAACAGACTCTTGTGATTACATTAGGCCTACCCAGGTGATCCAGGATAATCTCCCTATTTTAGTCATCTGATTAGCAACCTTAATTCTCCTTTGCCATGTTAGGTAGCATATTCATAGGTTTCAAGTACTAGAACGTGGACATTTACAGAAGGCCGTTATTTTGCCTGCCAAACACAAATCTACTTAATCAGACTGGATCTGAGTGTTACACAGAAATCTGTGGACTGGCTTCCGGAGTGATCCTGTGCATGCTTGCTGATGCAGTGCAGCACCTGCATACCAGAGGCCAGCCTCTGGCTGTTAGGTTGAGAATAGAGAGTGGCGCATACATCAACAGGTGGTCAGGCTGGGACAATATGACGAAGATGAGTACAGCTAGTCCCAGTGAGAACTGGGGAACTGGGCGGGGATAACAGGTTGCTAAGAATGGGTGCCCCCACCCGACTTTCTTCTTTTTGTGTAAGGAGGGAAAAAGCTATTCAGAAAGGATATTGTAGAGTCTAAGAAAGCAACCAGGTGCGGTGGCTCATGCCTGTAATCCCAGCACTTTGGGAGGTGGAGATGAAAGGAGTGCCTGAGCTCAGGGACTTGAGACCAGCCTAGGAACTTGGCAAGGCCTCCACTCTACAATTAAAAAAAAAAAAGTTAGCCAGGTGTGGTGGTGCACGCCTATAGTTCCATCTACTTGGAAGGCTGAGGTGGAAGGATCCCCTGAGCCCAGCAGGTCAAGACTTCCGTGGCCATGAGCTTGCCACTGCACTCCAGCCTGGGCAACACAATGAGACTCTAACTCAAAAAAAAAAAAAGAATTTCAGAATGGAATCAAGGACTGTACTGAAGGGAAAAAAATCACCAGAATTCTTTGGGTGTAGTCTAATTGCTGTTTTTAAAAAAACTTCTTTAGGCCATAATGTATCTGTGACCATGACACACCAATATGGACATCCTTATTCTCTCCATATCCACCAGCTGTTGGCACATTCTCTGGTCATCCCAGTTCCACCTGCCCCATCGATGGAAAGGTGTAATGCATGCCCACCTTTGTCCTCACTCCACTCCCTTTACTATCAAAAAGCCCTAAGATAAAAACCCAGGACATACTGACCTACCAGCATAGTTGAGATATGCTCAATTATGTCTACTACAGCCGAGCCTGTCGAAACCCAGCCCAATCCTTATCTGTACTTTCTGGTTCTCTCAGAGCCCAAGTTCTGGTCTCTTTTGCTGACTACATTTCTAATAATAGCCACAGAGCAGAAATATGTCTTCCTGATATGTCACGTACTCCCAAAGAGCCTCAGGCCAGAGGTCCACACATGTAACTAGTTCAAAGGATAGCTGATTTGCTCTGTGTTAATTCTAATATGAAGTACATTGAAAACCATTTTAAATATCTGAAAATTCTGGTAATTCACCTTACTGGACTGTTACACTGGCCAATTAGAAATTTGAACAATGTATAAAATTTTCAAAATACAAAAATGCTAAATAAAAAATCTTATAGAATTAAACTGCATGTATTTTTAAGAGTAAAAATAGGCCAGGCACAGTGGCTCAGCCTGTAATCCCAGCACTTTGTGAGGCTGAGACAAGAGGACTGACTGAGCCCGGGGGTTCAAGACCAGCCTGGGCAACTTGGTAAGAACTCATCGGTACAATAAATCAACAAAAACTAGCTGGACGTGATGGCATGCTTCCGTAGTTCAGCTACTTGGAAGGCTGAGGCGGAAGGATCACCTGAGCCCAGCAGGTAGAGGCTGCGGTGGCCGTGAGCAAGTCACTGTACTCCAGCCTGGGTGACAAGAGTGAGACTCCAACTCAAAAAAAAAAGAAAAAGAGTATAAACAGGTATATAACCAGCTTGGGCAACATAGTAGGACTCCATCCCTATTGAAAAAAAAAAAATTAGCCAGGCATCATGATACTTGGGAGGCTGAGGTAGGAGCACTGTTTTAGCCCAGGAGTTCAAGGTTGTGATGAACTATGATCATGCCACTGCACTCCAGCCTTGGCAGAGGAGACCCTGTCTTTAAAAATAAATAAAAATAGGTACATTATGGAATAGTATAGGACATAAGGAGAAAGAACAAAAAGGGAAAAATTAAGTTCTTGCAGGTTAGATAAGAACATTTAATATTTCAAATAAATATATAATAAAACTATGAAAGTGTCAAGAATGGGCAACTTAATAGTATTATGTTTATACAGAAGGGTGTGAGAGAATTGTATTAAAACTTGCTCAAATGTAAGATTCAGAGGGCAAAGCAGCCCTCTAAAATGTGTTGTCTACTTGGCTGAACTTTATGATTGGCTGAGCAACTACCTTGCCAATTCCCACACCTCCTGGAGACTGGCCTGTCCAGGCTGAACCTTACTATCAGGAGTCCACCCTGGAGTCCACTGCAGGTTATCCCCAGAGGCAGTCCAGGCACCTTTCATCTTTCCTAGTAGGTGCCTCCCCTCTGCCCACAACTTCTTATTTCATCTCAAACACAGCTACTACAACATGTTTTATTTCACTGGAAAAATTCTGTATAAAGGACCAAATCTGGTTCCCTTTAAGAAAACATTTAGCACAGCTTAAATAAAAGTTAAGGGACGAGGGAGGGCAAGAGTGCACTACCCCATGCTAGCTGTCACTGCCTTATCTCTGCGAGGCTCTGTGTCATGGAAAGCACAGGAGTCCAAGAGAACTCTGCTTGGCACTCTGATACGGCCTTGAGAGCCGTAATGTCTGCTTTCTGGCCCACACACTGCTGAAATCCTGAGAGCTGCCACGGCAGTTATCAAAAACGTGTGAATGAGCAGAACATAGAAGAAGTGCACTGGTGTTTTCAGCTAGTTACAGGCAGTAACACTTCAACTAGGAAAGAAAATATATAATTTATCAAAAAATAGTTCTAATATATAGAAAAACATCTCAGTCCTCTGGGGCCAAGACCTGCCCCTTATTTACATTCACAAAGCCATTGAGTGAACCCAGGACTGACCGGCAGGCAGGGAGGCAGGGCCTGCTCTGTGGGGCATGCCAGTCACCTACTGCATAAGCAGATGCAGGTAGAGCAGAAGATAAAGGAGAGACTTTTCATTGGGAAGACAGAGGGGAACCATGAGAGGTAAGAGAAGCAACACTTAGTCCTGGGTTCATTCTGACTCTTCACGAGCCCTCAGATTTTGAAAGCTTGGACCAATGTCCTCTGTCTTTGAAAACCAGGGTTAACAAGTGGCTGATCTGAATGGTTTGTTGCCATAGAACCAATGTGACTTATGTTCTTTTTCATTTTTTTCCCCTTAAAATCCAGGTAGATAAAGGATTGGGTAGGGAAAGTACCAAATAAATGTGGTGAAAAGGCAGGGTCATACGGAGAAGGGCACTACACCAGCTTCTTGGCCTCAAAGAAGCTCTTGAGGTGACGCATCTGCCAGATGCCAGTGAGGATGAGGATGACAGTCTGAGCAATGGACCACCACAGGACCCTCTGGTTGGTGCTCTCGCTGGTCAGGCGGAAGCGCTCTTCACGATACTGTGTGGACAACACAGGGTTAAATGAGCAGGAGAAATAATCCCAGACTGCTGTGAGGTTCCTCGCTGTGTGTAACCACTCAACTCCAGGACCAAATGCCTTTTGAAATACTGCCTACGAGTCTATTGGGAGTGACATGGTCTCCCAAATGAGGCTGCCCCAAGAAAGGGATGGTGCTGATCCTCCACAAGCATCTCTGTTGGGACTGAAATCATTCTCTTGCCATTTCCAACAACATCCCAAGAAAAAGAGGCATGCAATGGCTGTTACTAGATTGTCAACTATTCTCTCATCACTCTTATAGAGCTTAAAACTGACAGCCATTGCTAGGTCATTGCCACCGCCATTGCCTTGCTAAGCTACAGTGTGGCCATGTGCTCTCTGAGCTATGAGCAGGCCATGTTTCCTGGCTTTGGTCCCCTTCCCTACCTTGGGGAGGTGAATCTTCTCTTTCTTTCTCTCTCTCTCTCTCTTTCTCTAATTTACTTTTAAATAAACTGTATTTTCGAATCTAAAAAAAAGAATGACTAAGCCAGGCGCAGTGGCTCATGCCTATAATCCCAGCACTTTGGGAGGCAGAGGCAAGAGGATTGCCTGGGACCAGGGGTTCAAGACCAGTCTGGGCAACTTGGCAAGACCTCATCTCTACAATAAACAAACAAACAAACAAAAATTAGATGTGGTGACACACACCTGTAGTTCTAGCTACTTGGAAGGCTGAGGCAGAAGGATCACCTGAGTCCAGCAGGTTGAGGTTGTGGTGGCCATGAGTGTGCCACTGCACTCCAGTCTGGCCAACAGAGTGAGACTCCAACTCAAAAAAAACAAAACAAAAAACAAAAACCGTCTAAAGCAAAATGGGCCAAGTGCAGTGGCTCACACCTGTAACCCCAGCACTTTGAGAAGCCAGGGTAGGATTACTTGAGCCCAGGAGTTTGAGACAAGCTTGGACAACATAGTACTACCTCTACAAAAAAGAAAGAAAGAGAGAGAGAAATTATCGAAGGGTAGTGGCACACTCCTGTAGTCCCAGCTATTCAGGACACTGAGGCAGGAGGATGGCTTGAGGAGTTTGAGGCTCCAGGTGACAGAATGAGAACCCGAATCAAAAAATTAAAAAAGCAAAATGTGGTATATACATACAATGGAATATTATTCAGCCTTAAAAAAGAAATAAATTCTGGCACGTTACAACATGGATGAAACTTGGGATCATTACACTCAGTGAAATAAGCCAGTCACAAAAGAACAAATACTGTATGATTTCAGTTATATGATATAGAGTAATCAGGAGCATAGTGACAGAAAATGGAATGGTAGGTGGCAGGGGCTGGGGAATTATTGCTTAATAAGTATAGATTTTCAGTTTGGGAAGATGAAAGTGTTCTTGAGATGAATAGTGGTGATGGTATAGCACAACATTATGAATGCATTTAATACCACTGAACTAGAAGTAGTTAAAACTGAAAGTTTTATGTGTATTTTACCACAATAAAAAATGTGTGTGGGGGGGGAGAAACTAGACTGACACCCATTTCTTTTTTTTAAAAGTCAATCTCCCAAGAAGGCCCCAGACACAAACCTGGTGAGTAGGTATAGTGGGTGTAAAGGTCAACTGCCCTTTCCAAGTACAAGAAGATATGCCCTTACCCTTTGGTAATCCTGCTCCTTCTGAATCTGTTCCACTTGATCAAGCAACTGACGAGCACGGAGCTGCAGCTCCGTCAGTTTATCTTTAGCAGCAATTTCAGGGTAGTTGTTGGCATGCTCCCCAACCTGGATGTCCAGGTGCACACGCTACAAGTAAACAGAATGTCTGAGTGGTGGAACCTCCAACCGTCTGTTCCAGACCATGGAACCCATTCATGCCCCTGGCTGTGAGACAAGAGGGCAACTCGATCTCCCCTATTGTGACTATGCTACAAAGTGGAACAATGACGATAATGACAAATAAGAATTTAGAAACAAGTGAAAGGCTGAGGTCAAAGAGAAAGTCTTACCAGCTTGCCACCAGCGAAGAGAGCCATCCTGGTAGAGTTGGAGTGCAGACAGATTTGATGTTCACCAGGAGTGTGGGAGGTGAACGTGAAGCGGCCCTCCGAGCCGTACTGCCGGGACAGCACCACCTGCAACACGAGACAATGAAGACCCCGCTTTTACCGGAGCCTCTCAAAGTGCGAGCCCCTGTCCCCAAGGAGGGCTCAGGACCCAGTGCTTTACCCCACGGGAGCCCCAACGAAGAACGGCTCCCTGCCGGCTAGAGCACTGCCAGCGGAGGCCTTACCTTGCCGTCGGGGTCCTTCACTTCCACGTGCATGCCCAGGCCAGGGGTCGAGGGCAGGAAGACCTCCTTCTGCTTGTCCCACATCTGGGTGCGATAGTTGCCTGCGGGGCAGACACACAGTCACGACCTGGCTCTGGCGGGCTGCCTCTCCACCAGGCTCCCTCCGAAGTGTGGCCCGGGGCTTTGGGGAGGGGGCCTGACGTCCTCAGGGCACCCTCAAGCCAGACCTGGGGGATCTAGCGACCCGGCCGGGCTCAGGAGAAGGGGGCGCCGCCGAGGGCCGGGCGGGGGATAAAGGGCCTCCCCACCCTCAGCCTGCCTGACCGATGACCATGGTCTCGTCGGGGATTTCCTCGATGAAGCAGCGCTTCTCGGTCTCGCCGATATGGAAGTAGAGACCCCGAACGCCCACGGCGCACAGAGCAAGAAACAGCAACGCGGGCAACCCCACCGACCGCAGCGGTCCAGCCCCGACACCTGCCATCGCGCCTCACCCCTCTCACGCGCCTGCGCGACACCCGTGGCGACACCGCGCGGTAGGGAAAGAGGGCGCCTGCGCACTGCCGCCGTCCGGCCGTATCCATCGACCCGGTAACACGGCTCCTCCCCATCTCCGCACGCCAACCCAGCATTGCTGGGCAGCGGGAATGAGAGGACGCATGCGCAAAGATGCCCGCCCTCAATTTCTTCGCCCCGGTATAACTGCTTGTACCCCCACCCCACCTCGCACCTCTCTACGCCTGCGCGCTGTGCCAAGGCTGGCACGCGACGGAGAGGCGCCTGCGCAGTGATGCCTAACCGCCATTCCCTCTCCTCCGCACCCGGTACTCTGCCCTGCGTCGCTCCTAGCCACACCGCCGCATCACCTGCGCCTGCGCGCTGCTCCAGCGCCGCTGCGCCGCGAGGAGGAGGTCCCTGCGCTATGATGCCCGCCTTCGACTGCTGTAGTCGTTTGGGTCGCTGAGCGCCATTGAGATACCGTTCTGAACGCGGTTGGACTTGGTTTCGTTGGCCTAAGGTGTTCCTGTTGGGTTCCTAGCGCGAGCTCTCGAATGCCTTCTGTGCTAAAGACAAAAATCCCTGTGATGTCTAAGCGTGCCCACCCGACCCATGAGAACAGAGGCTGAACCCAGACCAACACCTTGTGACGTCGGGAGAGCTACCCCTGTGAGCCTCTCCGAGGGGGCATTTTTTGAGCCGGAGACCCAAAGCCCAGTGCTGGCGTCGTTTCGGATCATTTTGTAAGAAGCTAGACGTTTGAGTTTTGGCATGAATGGCCTGATTTTTGAATGTTAGCTTTTAGCTCAGCTTCTGTCTGATGGAACGACAACAAAAAGCCAAAATGGTGTGTAATCTCTGTACGAATCAAGTAGGGTACACTCTACAGGTTTAAGTTATTTGCCCACTCCCTTCACAGTTTCTCTGGCCCATTCTTTCATTCTTTTTTTTTTTTTTGAGTTGGAGTCTCACTCCATCGCCCAGACTGGAGTACAGTGGCACGCTCCCGGCCACCGCAGCCTCGACCTGCTGGGCTCCGGCGGTCCTTCCGCCTCAGCTTCCCAAGTAGCCGGAATTACAGGCATGCACTACCACGCCCGGCTGATTTTTTTATTTTATTGTAGAGATGAGGTCTCACCAAGTTGCCCAAGCGGGTCTCGAACCTGCGGGCTCAGGCAATCCACTCACCTCAGCCTCCCAAAGGCGCGGGATTACAGGCTGAGCCACGGAGCCCGACTTGTATTTTTTTTTTTAAGTTGGAATCTCACTCTTGTCACCCAGGCTGGAGTTCAGTGGCACGCTCATGGCCACCGAAGCCTCGACCTGCTGGGCTTAGGCAATCCTTCTGCTTCAGCCTTCCAATTAGCTGGAACTACATATGCATACTACCACGCCTGCCTTTTTTTTTTTAATTATTGTAGAGACAGGGGTCTCACCAAATTGCCCAGGCTGTTCTCGAACCCCTGAACTCAGGCAGTCCTCTCACCTCAGTCTCCCAAAGTGCTGGGATTACAGGCTTGAGTCACCACACCCGGCCTTTTTTTTTTTGAGTTGGAGTCTCACTCTGTCAACCAGACTGGAGTGCAGTGGCCACTCCCGGTCACTGCAGCCTCGACCCGCTGGGCTCTGGTGATCCTTCCGCCTCAGCCTTCCAAGTAGCTGGAACTACAGGCGCACGCTACCACGCCCGGCTAATTTTTTGATTTATTGTAGAGATGAGGTCTCGCCAAGTTGCCCAGGCAGGTCTCGAACCCACGGGCTCAGGCAATCCACTCACCTCAGCCTCCCAAAGGCACGGGATTACAGGTTGAGCCACCGAGCCTGGCTTTTTTATTTTTTTTTTTAAGTAGGAATTTATTAGAGGATAGAAAAGCTCCAAGCAGTGGGTGGGGTCCCGAAAGGGTTGCCCAAGTCTCTTTTAATATATAAAAATTATCCTTCCCTTTTTATTATTGTTCATGTCATTTACTTACTGAAGAAACTGGGTAATTTAACCAACAGTTTTCTCCACGTTCTGGGTTTTGCTGATTGTACCTTCATGTGTCATTTAACATGTTTCTCTGTCCCTTAAGTTAAACTTAAGAGTTAACTCTAGAGCCAGGGAGGGAAACTAATGAAGCTTAATCTTCAGGTCCTTACTTGCACAGACCTCTATACCTAGTTTCATATTTGTCATTTTGTGTTTTTTCTTAAAGAGAACCCTGAAATTTGCATAATTTTAGGTCCCATAAAAGCTGGATTTGCACCTGGCTAGAGGCTTCATTAGGCTTAGATTAATTTTGGCATTTTGGGTGTATTTTGGTTTGTTGGTTGGGTTTTTTTGCAAGAACACTTCATGGCTGGTGCTGTGTACTTCTCTTGAGACCCATCTGGAGGTTCAGTGTATGGTTGTCACTCTCTTAGTAATATTGGGATTCATCTTTCAGTTCAGGGGTTGTCACCCTGATCATAAAGCTTGCCATCAGCCTTTCTTCTTATAGTCTAGCAACCATTGATGATTGTTAGACCAATGGTTCTCAACCAGGGACGATTTTGCCCTGTCCTACCCAGGAGAAATCTGGCAATATTTAGAAACGTTTGGGTTGTTGCAACTGGGTAGGGGTGATGCGGTACTGCTGTCATCTAGAGAGTAGATGCTAGGAATGCTGCTAAACATTGTATAATTCACAGAGCAACCCTATGGAAAAGGATTATCCAGCCCAAAATGTCAGCAGTGCAAGGTTGAGAAACCGTAGTCTAGATATATTAGGTTCCTTAGGGGTACAAAGTAATGATTTCTTTTTTTTTTTTTTCTTTATTGAGTTGGAGTCTCACTCTGTCACCCAGGCTGGAATGCAGTGGCATGTTCACGGCCACCGCAGCCTTGACCTGCTGGGCTCAGTTGATCCTTCCACCTCAGCCTTCCAAGTAGCTGGAAATACAGGCACACACCACTACGCCTGGCTAATTTTTTGATTTATTGTAGAGATGAGGTCTCACCAAGTTGCCCAGGCTGGTCTCGATCCCGTAGGCTCAGGCAATCCTCTCACCTTGGCCTCCCAAAGTGCTGGGATTATAGGTGTGAGCCACCGCACCGGGCCCAAGTGATAATTTCTAAGTTGTCATTCCTCTTGCATTTATAAAATGAGATTCTTCTACAAAGATGAGTGCTCCTCGCCTGCTTTCTGGTTCCTTTGAGTTACAATCCATTCAGGAAAGCCACGATATATGTTTGATGTTTTCCCTTTATAAACTTTAAGAACGGTGGATAGATAGATGCCCCAGCAACCTCTAACTGTGACCAACTTGGGGTTTTTTAAGGGATGGAGCAGTACTATCATGAATTTAGGACTTTTTAGATATTTGATGCGCTTTCATCCATTATAGTCATTGTCCTTTTTCTAATGTTCAAGTTGTCTCATCAAACATTCAGTTGTGAACTTTTGACACAAGGGCTTCCTTGCTTTCCATTTTGTACATTTCCAGCCTTAGTCACAAAATCAGCCTTTCTTCAAGGAACCCTACCTCACTTTAGTGAAAAATGGTATTTGTATTTGTAACTTTATACTTCTTTTCTTAAAAAGGTCTCCAAAATTTGTCCTAATTGATGGATAATCATAAAGAGATGGCATTCTCCACTGTAGAAAGTTTACCTTACATAATCTAATCCCTCATAGTGAGAAATGGTATATGTATTTAGTGAGAAATGGTATTTGTATTTGTAACTTTGTACTTCTTTTCTTAAAGAGGTCTCCAAAACTTGTCCTAATTGATGGATAATCATAAAGAGATGGCATTCTCCACCGTAGAAAATTTACCTTACATAATCTAATCCCTCATATACAGAAACTATACTCAATGGTGGTGGAGCAGTTTCCAGCAATGTTTGTCAAGGTTCTTTTTTTAGGCCAGCCATTCCTTCCTTCACTCGTTCAATTAGTATGTGCTGTTCAGCCATTTGTATCTGTTCCTTTTTTTTTTTTTTTTTTGTCGGATTCTTACTCTGTCACCTAAGCTGGAGTGCAGTGCCACACTCACAGTCACTGCAACCTCAACCTGCTAGACTCCAGCGACCCTTCTGCCTCAGTCTTCCAAGTAGCTTGGAACCACAGGTGCGTACCACCACACCCGGCTAATTTTTTAAAATTTATTTATTGTGGAGAAGAGGTCTCACCAAGTTGCCCAGGCTGGTCTTGAACCCCTGGGCTCAGGCAATCCTCTGGCCTCCCCCTCCTGAAGTGCTGGGATTACAGGTGTGAGCCACAGTGCCTAGCCTAGTTACTGTTCTAATGGGAACACAATGGTGACCACAGCAGACAAAAATACTTGTCCTCATGGCTTTAATTTTATTATTGTCTGCCAATAAACAAGATAAATAATTAATATATAGTATGTCAGATGAAATAAGTGTCAAAGAGAAAAATGAGGTAGGGACGAGGAAAGGGAGCAAAGGGGATTCAGTGGTGGATCCCAGAAGATATGTCTATGTTTGAATCCCTGGAACCTGTGAATGTGACCTTACTTGGAAAAAGAGTCTTGGCAGATGTAATTAAGTTAAGGATTTTGAGATTTGATAATCCCGGATTAACCAGGTGGGCCCTAAATCCAATGACAGGTGTCCTTATAAGAGATACAGAAATAACTCTCACCCACTAAGATGTCTAATATTTAAAGAACAAAAACAGAAAATTTAAAAGTGTTAAATAATTAAAAATAGAACAATCTTATAATCCAGCAATCCCACCTCTGGGTATAGGTCCAGAGGAATTGAAATCAGGATCTGGAAAAGATGTCTGCACTCCCTTTTCCATAGCAGCACTATTCACAATAGTCGAAATGGAAGCAGTGTCACGTTCATCAACAGATGAATACACAAAATGTTATATATATATATATATATAATACATATTATATATATGTTATTCAATCATAAAAAAAGATGAAATTCTTTTTTTTTTTTTTTTTTGAGTTGGAGCCTTACTCTGTTGCTCAGGCTGGAGTGCAGTGACACATTCATGGCTACCCTAGCATCAAACTGCTGGGCTCTGGCAATCCTTCCACCTCAGCCTTC